ACTGCTTGCCGTCTTTTCCGCTCTCCTCAATTTGAATCTTTATATTTCTCTTGTCTAGAACACTTTTTTTAAATTTTCTTGCCTTCCGTAGAAATGGCTCCATTCTACAAGACCGCAGCAGCATTTTGCCTCGTCGGACTCTTCGGGCTCCAATCCGAGGCGGCCGAGACACCGAAGTACAAATTTGTGGTTGTAGACGTAAAAGATGGTAAGCTTACTGCCGCCGATGATTCCCATATTCCTTGTGCTTTCCCCCATTTTCTTTGCTGTCAAGCCATGAGTTACTTGGCTGCGACGGACGGAGGTCGTTCAATTGCACATTGATTTTCCTGTCCGCCATTGTTCTTTGCAGACGCCTATTTGACGGTCAGGCTGGCCCGTAATGGAAAACTTTCAGTTAAAACAAATGAGGTAGCAAAGGACGCCGATATTCTCAGCGCCTTGCAGGCAAAAGTACAAGAAGCCGAACAAGACACTCAGGCGACGTGCGCGACAGTGATAGAATCCAAATTTGTGAGCGCATCTACAAATTGCTGTGGCATGATCGGCATCAGGTCTAAACTATAAACTCGACTGCCACACCCGACAGAAATCAGGCGTTTCTTCCAATGAATATCTGAGACGGACTGAACATGAAGGACGTGTTGAGGCGTTTCGTTCATGTTTTGGGTGTACAGAAGAAGATATTTCATCATTCCTTCGAATTCACAGAAGATCCAGACTACCGTGAACTCGTGCAGGATGCCCTCACAACTGGACTAAAAGCTATCGGGTAGGGATATGCGATGTCCATGCTCGCTGCAGGGAGTTTCAATCCTCTGTCTTAGTACATCAACGTTAGTGCGACGATGCCTAGCATACCTATGATGCGATCATCATCACCTTCTTTATGCTGTTTTGCACTGACTGTTTGTACTCCTTCAACAGCGAAACGTACCCGGAGAATACAGACGCGTGGAAAACGCTATGGACGAAGAATGAGGCTCTCAGCGTGTTGCACCTTCTCGGCTCCAGCAGCACTAAAGTCGGTTGCGTCATTGGAAAGTGTGGCAAAGTAGAAGCGGTACTTGATACACACACAGAGCCAGAAGGGAAGACAACGGCTGTACTTCTCTGTGAATTAAGTCCTGCAGCAAAAGAGAACGAAGCCGCCTTCAGGTAAGCTTGGCTTTTTTGAGTTGAATGCTTAGACGGGTCTTATGAAAGCTTTTAGACGTGAACAGAAGCAATAACTGGAAATGTATTCTTTGTTTCTGTCTGTTTGCTCCGTCTTTATTGCAGCGAGGAGTACTTCAAGGAGCTTGTTGCACGAAAAGATGAATTAAAAAGTATGACGGAAGAAGATCTGAAGGACCCGATTGTAACCAGCTCTGCAGATGCT